ATCATTAACTATCAGGGAAGCACAAATCAAAACTACAGTGAGATATCACCTCAAGCCCGTCAGAATGGCTATAATTAACAAGACAGGAAACAACATGTGTTGGAGAGGATGTGGAGAGAAGGGAACTCTCATACACGGCTAGTGGCAGTGCAAACTGGTGTCAGATTTAAGTTTTATGTAATTTTGCCTCTTGTACTTGAAAGTAAAACTGTTCCAAAGATATTTTGAGTATTTTTCTTACTTCTCCTTTATCTCCTTTCTCTGTTAATCTACTTGTGTTTCTCATGGCATATTTTCATTTTAAGAGGCTTGTGTTTCTCCATTCCAGGGCTTTTTCCACATTGGGAAATAAAGTTGCATCACATTCCATGTTCTTTTACTCATATTTCTGCATTAGCAGGTTTCTAAAAATTAACCTTGCCTGGGCCGTGGATTTCTGCTGACATGTAACGGCAGTGCTGCAGAAGCTGAGCTATGTAGAAATCTGTTTGCCTGTGCACTAATCACATTTCCTGCAAGCTTTCCACAAAGATAATTCCAGAAGAAATTATAAAAGTGGAACTTTTGTTACAATAAAATAATGACAAGATTTTCTTCTTTTGTGGGTTATAAACACTCTCTAAGGTGAGTGTTTATTAGCAGTGTTATTAGCAGAATTTGAAAAAAATGTCCAGATCTTTCTTTGTATCCTCTCATCCCTACCATCCTCTTTTTCTTTCTACCTGGACTCCCTTTCCTAGATGGATTTCATTTTTCTCCTGGTACTCCTTTGAACCTAGTTGTCCATTTCTTTCCCACAAAGAGAGAGCCAACTAGTAGATCCTGACACTCTCCCTCTTTGTCTTCTGGAATGATCCAAGCTCCAGTGCTTTCACTGGGGGAGGTGTGTTCTCAGTGCTACGTCTGAGATTCAGTGGTACCTAACAGGTCAGGAGAAATCACAGTGGACAGACTAGAGAGCTTACTTGTAACATAGGCTTTGCAAAACCAAGGTGGGAGTGAAACTGTGGCAGATCTTAGAAGGTCTCTGACGATCAATAACATAACACAAATGCCGCGCAAAATTTAATCAAAATTTACTCGACAAAAAATAATAATAATTACTCTACAGATCATTTCTGGGCACCTTGCCTTAATCTACAGAAAATTGTCAGCCTCTACTTCCAACACATTTTTATAAGATACATGCTGATAAGTTTTGTTTTGCTGGAGGAACGGATTTTTTTGTGTCTGGTTCTCCATCCAGATAATTCTTAATATTAGGAGGCAAAGTTTTGACACACATATCTTGCCTTCCTAACTCTGCAGAGTTCCATTGTTGCAGTTTAGCATGAATGTTAGAAACTAAACAAACAAGCAAAAACTTAGACTAAAGCTTTGACTGACATCTCCCCAGGACCCGGGTTTGATGGGCTTACCTCTGTCTAATATGCTCCAGGCCCTAAGATGCTCTCTCACCTTCTGGGTCACCTGTCTTCCTCCTTTCAAATGACACCTGAGGACAGTTTTAAAATCTGTGTTTATTCTTCCTCACCATCGTTTGCGTTTCCCATGCCTGCTTGTTTGCAAAAAAATAACAGCTCTAACTCACGTAACATTAGGCAAAGAAACAAAGCTAACGCTTCTAGGAGTGTGGCTCAGGCTTTGAAGAGATGGTGTTCATAATGTTGCTCCTTACGTCACTTGTGCAATCAGGTTTTGAACATAGACACAAAATCTCTACTCCCACCTCAAATCCGTAGGCGTGCTTGGATGCTTGGCTCATTCCTTATCGTAATTAGGCAGAGAAACAAACGACAAAGTACTATAAAATTTCAGTACAAAGCACGTAGTGACAGCTTGGTAATAATACTCCTCCCTTTAATTTCATTCTCAAGATTGTGTTTATGCACAAATTATGCTATGCTAAGAGTTTGTGGTGGCAGAGAATGAATGCCATGTGAGTACATTTTATAGGAGACAGCTTACGTATGAGGTAAATTTCAATTAAAAGTATAACCAGACCATTCTTGCTTTTTCCAAATTTGGTTTAAAAAATATTGTTTTCATCCAAACAATATTTTTTATGGTCCACATCAAAAGACCCTATCCAGTAAGTCAAAATATGTTCGGTGCTTTTTGAAGTTTTATATAGCTTCCAGCAGGATTAAGGCTAGGTTCTGCTAAGGAATAGTAAAAATGTATGAATGTCTTGGAAATTGTTCAAAAATTCTCTCTGCCTCTCATTAAACTCTCGGAGTCTACCTATACAGAATTACATATGGAAAGCGGGCCAGATTAAAGAAGGCAGGAGGAGTCTGGAGGGCATAAACAAGAGGATCCAGAGAATGAGACGCGAGATTCTGGGAGCGTGTGCCACATAATGATATTCCACTTGTGCTACCTTGCCGGCTGCTGTGCGTCCCGTGAGCATCTGGGGAGTTCTGAGAATCCGCATCGCTCAGATGAGTGGCGCGCTGTGCTTTCTCCTGCTTTGGGAACATCTAGGCAAGTTACCGTATCCTTTGTCATTAACAAATATATAGCTTTCAAACGTGTCTGTCGGCTTCTTTATGTGAACTGCAGAGCCTTCTCATTTTGATGCCCAGCCACTGGCTCATCTCTAGTATGTATATTTACAACCTTGCTGCTATCTGTTTCTAGATAGTTTGCCGAGATCTGATTCTCGGCCAAGGTGAGAGAGCTGCAACACACCATATGCTGTATCCACCCTTCCTGAAACCACCACAAGCCCACCGTGACCTCAAGTCATCAGGGAAAAAGGCTCCTTTACACAAATTGGCAACAGACTGCGGTATACGTGATCCGATCTGAATAAAAAGTCCATTTTAAATATTTATTTTGGTTTCACACCAACACTTCTCGACTGCTCTGTGCACTAAGGCCAGGTGAAAATACAAAGATTTTAGTAGGAGAAAGGGTTAAAAAAGAAAGAGTAAGGAGAAAAAAAATTACTTCAAGTCAAAATAGACTTTGAAAATTAATGTGACTGACGTCAGGGAGTCAGCAAAAAGACTTGAATAGATTTACTATGCCAGGAGAGTTGGAATTATTTTAACTGAGGCCTCTGAGAGAGATTTTGAGTTACGTTTCAGGTGAAAATATTAAAACACTAGAGACTAATGCTCATAAAAATATATGTTTTTGACTGTATCATTATAAGAAGATGGTGTTTTCAGCAATATATTAATTACAGAAAAATACATTTAAACACCCCAAACAGTGAAGCTCTAAGCTTTTTCTGTAATAGCTTTGTGAAACACAGAAAATTAAACTGAGGAACTGCTCTCTTTCTATCTTCAGGTCAGAATTATTTTTAACTCTTAGTGCAATTAATTCCTAGAAATCAATAAACTGGTTCAGAGTAAAATCTTCTTTTGACCACCTTCCTGGGTATACATAAGGAATTTGCCCATTTGAATTATGTCATTTAGTTGCATTTCATCAAAGGAATTTAAAAATTCTTCATATACTGAGGGCAGAAGCTTTCTAAACAGAAATTCGTGCATATAAGATCAATTAAAGGTAATAGATGCTCTACTGTGGTCAACGCAATTGGTAAAGCTACTGGAAAAGTGCGTTGTGCATTGGAGGCTTGTGTATGTCTATAATTTAATTTTGCACAACAGATTTGAGAAAGAAAACCATAAATAAGTAGATACTACTTCAGTGCTGGAAAGTGGAACGTGCTTAAGTTTTTATATGATTTAATTCAATTATACATTTTATAAACTTATTATTTTTTTAATTTATTTTTATTTATTTTTTTGTGAGGAAGATCAGCCCTGAGCTAACATCCAATGCCAATCCTCCTCTTTTTTGCTGAGGAAGATTGGCCCTGAGCTAACGTCCTTGCCCATCTTCCTCTACTTTATATGGGACGCCACCACAGCATGGTTTGCAAAGCGGTGCGTCGGTGCGCGCCCGGGGTCCACGAACCCCAGGCCGCCGAAGCGGAGCATGTGCACTTAACTGCTGCACCACCAGGCCGACCCCATCAATTATACATTTTAATGAAACATTTTAACTCATTTGCTTCATAGTCTAATCTGATCATTATATTTGAGGGATGTTTTAGAAGGCAATATGAACCAAAAAAATTGAAATAATTTTTTTAATAGAAAAAATGTATTTTATCATGTAGTATAGCAAATTATTAAGGGCGTATTATCCCATCAAAGACATATATACATTATTTTTCAAAAAATAATAGTTTAATAACATTCTTTCTAAAAATGTTATAATGACTGAAATTTCCAAAATAAGCATTACTATTCTGTTTGAAAAGAATACTTAAGATTGTGCTTCATGTACTGGATGCTTCAAACAAAATGTTAAAATATGTAACTGTTTTTAACACACTTAGGTGCTAAAGTATTTGTTGAATAGATTTAGAATATTTAAATTCTACTCATGTAATTCTTTTTATTTAAACTTTACCTGAAAAGATTAGAGGTTGAAAAACATGTTAATTTATTATTTTTTAATTTAATTGTTAGCTATATGTGACATTTGTGATCACCATTGGAGGACCGAATTTTGTAAACATATGCTTTTAGAGATTGACAGGGGTGGGGAGTGGGGTAGGGAGGGGGATGTCCAACATAAAAGAAGGTTTTCTCTTGGCAGTAGCATTTCAATATTTGCCATAAGATGTTATTCTTTCCCCATTTCCTGTGTTGGAGGAGGGATGGAGGCATTAGACTGGTTCTTATCCCTGAAGCTGAAGGGGGAAAGACAAAAGGATTTTGGTGGAGGTATTTTCAAGAAGACAAGACTCTTATTCTGTGCCTTAGGTTATTGACTGCTTAGCCATCAGACTTGCTATCTGGCTGGTATAGACAGTGTTCCAAGGAGAAATGGTGCAGATATTAGTGAGATAACTCTATTTGCTCATGTTCTTGGTTCTAAAGAGATATGTGAGATGAGTGTATGAGATATATCCCTGCTGAGGGGCCTCAAATGGAGAAGAAATTCTGTGCTACAGACTTGGAAGGGACAACATAAGTCATAGGGGGAGAAAGGAGACAAGCAAATTAGACGAAGATGAGGGTGAGGTCAGCTGATAACTGTTGAGAACATGTGTGAAATTAAGTCCACATGAGCCACACCTTCTGTTGTAGATGACCAAGAGGATGAGGACAGCAGCCTACCCACTACTTACCAAATGCTCTTCACATTCCGGCCTATATGAACTAGCACTGTCTGCTCATGTGGGGCACATGGAACTACATTTAACGCCTTTCTTTTCCCTTTTCCTTCCCTGATGTCAGAAGCATAACACACCAAGGGAAGACAGGGGGAGTGTGGGAAAGCATATTCCAATATTTGTCCTCACTAAGACTCTGAGACGATGCCATTTCGCAGTGAATGAGGGTGGCACTTTGAATCAAAATTGAAATGTTGAAATAGATAGGTTGAAGCCCTAATAATAAATGTTTACAGAAATAATAACTTGTTATTCAAGGACCTCATTACCCAGAAAGAAAGTTGTTTTAACAGAGTATATCTGTTAGATTTACTAGAAAGACAAAATAATTTCGTGTCAAAGCATCATTTTCAAAAAGGTTAAATATGCCTCTCATACAAATATAGTCCAGATGTTAATCAAAATTTTATTTAACTCATTAAAGAGAGAAGTTGCAAGATATGAAGCTCTTTAAAATATCATTTGAGAAAAACTTTTATAGTCATTTGAGAAAATTTTAAGTTAGAAAACAAATTGATTAATGTCCCATAGGGCGATAAAACCATAACCGTTGGGGTTGCCTTCCCTACTCAACGGAAATCATTTACATCTCTCCTGAGGAGAATCTACATCTTAACCTGCAACTTCAAGAGAACAGTGGAGCATAGCTGTGTTTAAACACAATTTACTCATGGGTGCAGAAATTTGAATTTCATCTAATTTTTATGTGTCGCAAAATATTCTTTTTTTGATTTCTTTTCAATCAGTTAAGAACATAAAAAACAATCTTAGCCTGTGGGTCATATAAAAACAGGTGGTAGGCCACATTTGGAGAGCAGGCTGTAGTTTGCCAACCGGTGTCAGACAGTGTACGACATTGAAGGGACGTGCAGTCATCCATTTTCTTTACATCCAAGTTTTCTTAACACACGATCATACATCAATAAGTTGAATCTTTTCACACCTGTTCCGCCTGCAATCGGAAGTTCTCAGTTTACAATGGTTTAAAGATATCGGACCTTGACTAGAAAGACAATGGACCGTAACGCACACTGAGAAATAGTTTTTCTAGCTTTAACCTTATGAAATCCTAGACAGGTGAGTCCCTTGGATTCTTTGGGCCTCTCATTGCCCAGATATAGTTGGGCTAAATGAATTCTAAGATGATTCTTATGTATAAGACTATTTGTTCCAGGTAAATCTAAGACAAATGATAATTATTTAGGAAATTATTTTCTCTATATTGTTTTTTTCACACTTGTAGAGAAATTTATGTCAAGTGAAAATTGTACTCTCACCCTCAAACACGTATCAGCATTATCTACATTTTATAAGGTTTAGTGTGCAAGGGGATTTGCATTTAGGATGACATAACATGTTTCTCTTCATGAGGATTCATATTAACAAATATATGAGCCCTAGAAGCATTTTATTTTATTTTATTTATTTTTTATTTTTTTTGTGAGGAAGATCAGCCCTGAGCTAACATCCATGCTAATCCTCCTCTTTTTGCTGAGGAAGACCGGCTCTGAGGTAACATCTATTGCCAATCCTCCTCCTTTTTTTTCACTAAAGCCCCAGTAGATAGTTGTATGTCATAGCTGCACATCCTTCTAGTTGCTGTATGTGGGACACGCTCTCAGCATGGCTGGAGAAGCAGTGCATCGGTGCGTGCCCGGGATCTGAACCTGGGCCGCCAGTAGCGGAGCACGCGCACTTAACTGCTAAGCCATGGGGCCGGCCCTAGAATCATTTTAAAAACTAAGCAATATTGGAGGGAAAAAGTATGATCCGAATGAAGTTGTATGAAATATTGGCAATTACCGTTTTATTACAGGAATCTGAATATTGAATCCATAACAGAGAGGAAAAAGGCATTCAAGTCTAAATGAGCTATCAAAAACAAATTCTAGTTCTATAAGCAAAACTGTAAATTCTAAAATTTCCATAAGCAAAATTACTTTAAAGAAGAGAAACTAGATCAATTAGAGATTGATATGAAAATTATAAACAAACAAATCTTCTTCTGTCAAACACATTTGAGGCATGAAAATAGCATTTATGGCCCATTCTGCCATCTGAAACTATTTGGAATCACACATAGTCCAAAGAAGAGATGAATTTTGAAGTTAAAGATAAATTTACTTTTCACTTGCAGAAATAATATATGTTAAAGAGAAAAAGAAAATATTCAATTACATCACTGTTAACCAGGCTGGTGACACTAGCATAGAAACATTTTGTACTGTGATAGTTGACAAGAGAATATTTCTAACTCTCTCCTTTTATCACATTGCTTCTTAGAGACAGACAACTAGCCCATCTGAAAGTTACAATTTGAATGGCTTGTAGGAGTTCTGTTGCGTGTGTTCAGAGACAGAAAGGGAGTGACAAATAATCTGAATATTGCATTTGAAAGAAAAGTTTGTATGGGAAGTTTGTTATTCAAAAGTACTTTTTCCTCCAAATTACCTTTCTCTTCTCTCCTCATCTATTCAATTAAAAAAATGTTAAATTAAATAAAAGCAGCCTAGTATGGACCCCAAATTCAGTGACCCTACTCTTTGTGGAAATATAAAATGAATGTAAAACCTTCCTTTTCCTTTTCTAAATTCTTTTGTTAGTTTGTAACATGTAGCAAGGAAAGGTAAATTTAAGAAAAATCATAAGTAGACTAAGAAAATGTTTAACACACAATTATATAAATAAGAATTAGAGCAGTGTGGGAATAACATAACCTCCGCTGTCTACAGTAACTCCTGTTAATTGCATTTCCACGTTGTTAAATCCCTGCAAGACTCACGTTCGTGATGGACCTTCCATATTTCAAACACTGTACTAAAAGAAACTTCTTTTTGGTTCTTTTGTTCTTTCTTACAGCAAAGGAAGAGAGACACAGACAGAGAGACTATTTCTGAGTAGTAAGAGTGCAGTCAAATGTTGGTAAATTAACATTATAGTGCCGTTCAAGAGAGAGAAGGAAGATGAAATCATAGAAAATATCATTTGTTACAATGCAAAGTAAGCACTTTCTTGTATTTATGATGGGAATAATTCATATTAAAATCCCTGGAGTGTTGGTGAAGCCATGATATCTAAGTTAACCTACATTTTAATAATAAAGCATTTGTTAAAGTAGGACAAAAGTTGAATAAAAATAATATTAACATTAATAATTATCATTATAATGCTTTCAGTTTTATAAATATGAAGATTGAAGAAATATATGACAAAACTCATAGGCATGAAAATCATTAAATTTTAAATTAATAAAACATAATTTTAAACAGTACAATGAACTAAATGGTTAATATATCAGATTATTATAAAATTTCAAGATAATGTTTAAAATATATTTTCATTGTTTTTTCCTTATATTTTTATATCACTTCCTATCATGTTAATATACCTGTCCTAATTCACTTTTCTCTATGGGTTTTATAAATGTTACATAGTGCATGTGGCTTTCAGGTGTCAATAAGAATTGCTTTTGTTTATGGGTGAGTGTGTTCTGCTTATGTAAATATCTATAAATGTATATTTTTCCAAACCAGCTGTGTAATTTGAATGCAAACATATCTTAATTTTTATAAATTGCTTATCAAGATTGACATATAATGACAGTGAGCAATAAAATATACATGAATTTGAACAACTTTCACATATATTTCTACTGATGCATCTGTGACATTGGCAGAGCACTTGTAAGAAATTTTGAAATGTAATGTATACATTTTTCAGTCAAAGGTACTTACAAAAATCTACCTACACTAATATATTATATATCAAATATATCCCCATGGTGTCTAGTAGTTTTAATGTGAACATTTGTTGGAGATATTTTAACATGAACGCTCCAATTTTGAAGAAATATATATATACACACCATTTACTAGTGTAATATAATATGCACAGTAAAAATTATAAAAAGTGAACATCTTCAAAGAATGTTCTGAAAATAAATATATAAGGAAGTTCTAATATTTTCTTTCCACATCCTTTGGAGCTGGTTGTCTGCCCCCTTCTGTAACTCTGAAGGCCACTACTGTAGCTCAATAATTCACAGCCGAGGGATGGGGGAGGTGAGTTTCCTGCTGTGTAGGTAATGTGTACCATATTTGAGGGTCGATGATAGGATATATGTTTTAAAAATAGGTTAAAAACAACTGGTCTGGAAGAAGAAACTGGAAAAGTCTGAATCCTACAGATTTTTTTTCTATTATATATCTAGGAATCCTTTTCTCTGCAATCTGTTTTCAAGGAATGAGAACTTTGCCACAGAAGAAAGGGAATTAGAGAAGGGTTGTGTCATTTAAAAAATACGGCACTCCAGATATCTCATAGTCAAACCTGAATCCAGTAACAAGGAGATCCTGGGAACTTTTACTTATTATCTGGGTCCTCAGAGAACAAGTGCAATCCCTAAAATAATTAAGCCCATTTTTACATTTGTAATTTGTCAGTAATGAATTTTAAAACAATAATTGTGATGTTCATGTTAATTCATCTGTTAGCTGACATTCACGGGAGTGGTGTGGTTTCTTCCAAAATGATGAATAACATACAAGGAGCAGAAACCATGAGAAATGGAAGTGCATTGTTATAAATAACCAAGGAAGAAAAGCACTTAACCTGCACTACCATGATCATGCTGTTACAATATCTAACGCAACTTTTAGAATTCAATTGTATTATTCAAATGTTCATAATGATTTCAAATTATTCCTTAAAATTAAGTTGATTTTACTCTCCAAATGCGTGTGCTCTGGGCATCTCAACATATAAAATGTAAGTTGGGAAGCATGACTTAAATGCCCAGATGGTTGATTAAAACTCTAATGAACAATTTTAATCATCTTGCTACATAACTAATGGCTTTCATCTCTGCCTTGGCTCACTGGTTAAATAAAGGTAGAATTGAAAGGGTGACGTGTATACGATAACTGAGCGATTTGATTTTCCATCAAGTCAACAATCTTCTCTTTACAGGGTGTCTGTACATGTAACAGAAAATGTATTCCTTCAGGCGAACTGTGTTTATCAAGACTCTATTCACTCCCTTAGGTAAAACATGGATTCACTTAGTGACCTAGAATGACATATTATTTATTTATTTTAATTCAGGCTAAGAGGCTAAATGTTATAATTAACGTAATGCTCTTCTTACCTTTTATTTGTATATAATACACCCACTGGGGCCTGAAAAGTGGGTTGCAGTAACTCTAACTCATTCTTGACTGGGACGAATCACTCATTAATTTTTTAAGCAGTAGAGCTCAAAGTAGACTTTCTCTTTTCAAGTTTTGGAAAGGAGGCTTGCAAGTCCTGCGGGGTTTCCTTTCCTATTCTAGGTCAAGCATTAGCTTCTTTTATATAGAACAAGTGTCGCTTCTGGAAACTGCTTGTGAAAAAGCACTTGATGTCTTTTAGAAATGTCAGGCTTTAGTCTACAAGTTATCTCCATTCTTACCCTCTTCCTTGCCCAATAATATGCACATCCTAACAACTAAACTGTGAACTAATCAAAAGGAATTGAAAAATATTTTTTTCTATAGTAGTAAGTTTCCCTGTGAGATATGGAATAAAGTCTGAATATTTTTATTGGAGAATAGTTTATCTAAATTTCTTCTTAGTTGACTCGTAATCTATTATTTAAACAGACAGAAGCCTGAAGAGAAAAAATAAATAAATTGTGATGATCAAACCCTTGACTTTACAGTGTTATAAAAATAGTACAGTGACATAAGGGATCAGCAATAGTAAACTCCAAGCTGGCCATTTTTTATAAGTATACCTCATTTATAATTTGAAAGAAGATTAGATAATAAGGATCAAAGAAGATTAATTAAATTATATTTCTGTTCTTTGATTTAAAAGGTAATTTGGGAGAGGAACTACAACATTCATTTTGATGCCAATAAGATTTAGTATATAATAGAGACCATCTATATATACCCCTAAAGGCTTTTATGACCCCCATATTTCGTAAGACCTAGAAAAGATGGTCTCAAATTCCTAATTTTGTGGCCTGGAATATTCCAAAGCACTCCAAGTTTTCTATGAATTTCTAAAGACTTAAATTTTTATGGCTTCCTTTGTACCAGTAACCAATACTTATCACTTTGGGAAAAAACAAAACAAAACAACACTCTAATCCATCACATGATTGGTTTTTCCCGCAAAGTCTGCACTCGTCAAAAATATTGTTTTTCCTTTTTAAACAAGGGTTTTCTGTTTGTAGACACATTGCACTATATCTAGCCAACTTCAGCCCAGAATCTATAGGAACATGATTTGTTCCTCCCTGACCGCTCTAGTATGAAAAATCCCTCTTCCCTCCAGCTTGATGTCTCTGCTACCCTGTATTTTACTATTCCCAACTTTTCCAGCAACACCCAACTCTAAATCAGATACTGACAAAGCACCTCACCATTTTCCTCTTTATTCCTTTATAGCAAGGGCAGATTAGCAGGTTCTATTTGAACTGTGACCCAACACACAACCAGCCTCTCTCCTTTCCCCCAGCAGATGGATAAGTGGACTGGATGGTATCCCTTTTGCCCTTGAACCAATCCACCCACCTGGCTCTGGCACTGACCTGCAAATACCAGCCTCATCCCTCGTTACTCAAAGGTGCTATTAAGGAAATGCTGCCTAGCACGTTCTATGAAAATTCATACTCTGAAAATATTCCACTTTATGACTGTGAACATTTACATGGCCCAAGGTGAGACTTACAAAAGGCCTTATTACATGAGTGAATGTGGCATGAGCTACTTATTGTTTGACTTAAAATTGCAGAATATAAGAAGGCAGGAGGCAGATGGAAATAAAGAAGTGATAAAAGATTGCTGGTTTTATAAGTTTAAGTGTTGACACGGTAGTGATTTTAGTAAATTCTCTAATTGAACTTTCAAAATCTGAAGGTCATTGGCAAAATGGATTGATATAAATATCCAGTGTTCTGCTTTGAAAATTCTAGTTGGCTGTTTGGATTTTCCAAATTCATTCAATATGTTGGCACTCTGTAGCCCTACTGTTAAATTAGTATTTGCCAAGCAGTCCTGAATTTTATGACTTGTGTTGACAGTTAATATTGAATTATTGATTAAAGCTAAAAACAACCCTATAAAGCATTGAGTTTAGCAATAATTTTTATCCATATACTCACATATACCACAAATAGAAAAGTATAAACATATTTTAGAATAAAATTTAAATAGTATGGAAATTTTCTAAATAGCTTTACTTTTATTTTCAACAATTGTGGGTTTGAAAAATTCTTTTCACGATATAATGCAATGATCAAAACTTTAGTTTAAAGTTGATAGGAAAGTGATGTGATTATGGATTTTTATATAAGAAAATTTATAAAGTAAGAATTTATTTGTATTAGGCAAAAAGTGTGATAGGAATAAAAATATACATTCCAATTTGCCTAACAAAAGTAGAATGGAATTATTCTGCTGTTATTCTAAAATTAAAGAATATGTTGAGGGAAGATTACCAGGGTGAATTCTACCTTTATCTTCTTGTTATTGGCTATGTCACCTTAGGCTTGTCACTTTATAGTTCTATGTTTTGACTCCCTCCATGTTTAACATGGAGACGAAAATTGTGCTTGTTTGCCTCCTGGGTTGCTGTAAGGGTATATATAATGCTTGGCAAGGCTTTGACAAGTTTTTTCTTTAGGTCTATTAAATAAGAAATATCTGTCAAGTTGGATGTCTCAGAACTAATGCAAGATAAAAGTTAGTGGAGTGACCCCATGAGACAGATGGAAAAGGACAGAACCCACACTTGGTAGAGTGTAAGAAGTCTGGAAATAATATCTAAAACATCTGCTATCAATACCCCATGCCACAGACATAGCCAATTGAGTTGATGAAAGTTTCAAGCTAGCCACTCCCAAATGGACCAGATCCAAAGTTCTCTGAGAAGTATTTTCTCCTGTCTGTCCATTTATCTTCTAACACTAGAGTTGTTGGTGTACTTTTTATACTCTTATAAGAAGCACTTCACTTGTCAGTTTTCCATCCCATTCATCTCTCCCCCTGTCTCTCTCTCTCTCTCTCTCTCTTCTTCTTGTTCCTTATTTGTTTCTTTCTACTTTCCTTGCTTTTTTGGGTTATTATGTTAACCCATGTTTATCCTAATGAGGAAATTAAAGCTTATTGTCCTACAGATATGGTTTATAATTAATAATAATGTTAATATTTTCATTTACTGAAGTTTTCTCTTTCAGCCTAGTAGAGGCATTCTTACAAATCTCATATGTTTCAGTTAAAATCCACATCAAAACATAATAGTGTATAGCACTTTGTTTTTCAATTTAATGAAAAGCTTAACATCAAGATTTTACCTATGTGATAGCTAATAAAATGGGAAAGGAAAAAAATCAGATAAAACGATGAATGCACTTTATCTAAGAGTTGTTTTTATTTTAAAATACATTTCTATTGTGGTGTTATGGTCTATTCCCTTAATGATAAACACTATTAAGCCAATTCTCTGAAAAGTTTTTTTTCATATTATTCTTAGCCAATGAAAGTTGGCTTGTTTTTGTTAATAGTCGCAAAAGAGGATAATAAAAATAAATAGCAATAACAACTGAGGCTGAAAATATGCCTGTTACACTAATAGGTATTATTACTAAAATATCTCATTTAAAACTAATTTATACATTAAAAACTGAGATTCCCAGAAGTTATGAAGTTTTCCAAGAACTGAACCTCATAGTAATAGAGGGATACACAAATGAGGTAGGTTGTTGAGAAATATAGATGACAATCAAAAAGAAAAATGTTGAGGATTTCTTAGTAGAAAAGTGAGTGTAGAAAAATTTAAAAAAAAATCTAAGAAGCTCAGGTTTGACAATAATTATTATGTTAGTAACCATAAGTATTAATACCTCCTTAATGTTTGATAATTAATAAAGGTCTTTTACTTGTGGTAGAGCAGAGTGAGAAATCCTAACATCGTGATGAAAACTACAGGCTCTTGAACTCAACCATGTGGGTTGAAATCCTGGCTATGTTTTGTTTTGTTTTGTTTGTCTATAAAATATCAATTAAAATACTTTCCACTTCATAATTTTTTTGGGAATTAAGTAAATACATGTACAATATTTATAATAGTATCTGGCTCATAGCAATCCATAATTCAGTGTTAGCTATTTGAGTTATAATTACACAGATTATTATGCCTTACAACAATCCCTTGAGTAACAGAGATACATTAGGCACAAACCTTGTGCACTTTTTCAGATTCCCTTGATGAATCCCTTCTTTTCACAGGCACCGCCCACCACCTGGACAGTGTTGCCCCACGACCTTTGCTGGTGTCCAAGTCAACCTCCTCACCCTGCCGGCAAGTAGAGTCGAAGTCTTAGCTCTGCGTGGCCCTCACACCCCACAGGCCAGGCTCCATCTGTGCCAATCCACCTTTCCACTTCCAGATTAGGATGGAATGTCACACTTCTGCCTATGGAATATGGTTTCCTAAACCACCAACCACAAAGTCAAATGGCAGAATCCTGGACCCTCCGTGTGGTCCCTTGACCCATGGTTAGGATTGTCTGGGTTTTCTCTAGGCAATCTTGTTATTCACTGTTGTCAGGTATAATTATTAATAGTAACCCATTGTATTCCGAAAACTGACAATGAATGATGCGGCTACACTAAGGATGAGTTGAGAAAGAGCTGGTTTGGTATTGGTGAAGTCATAAACAAATAGATAAATGGACTAGAATGGAGAAGCCAGAAATAGATCCACATAAATATAGTCAATTGATTTTTGACATAGGTACAAAGCCAATTGGGAAAGTACAATTGGACACCTATATGTAAAATTTTTTAAAAAAATGAATCTTGACCTATATTGACACATTTATACAAAATTAATTAAAAATGAACCAGAGATCTAAATAAAAGAGCTAAAATTATAAAATACTAGAAAAAAATGTAGGAGAAAATTTTTGTGATCTTGAAATAGGGAAATATTTTAAGGTCTAACACCAAGAGCATGGTCCATAAAAAAAATGGTGAATTGGACTTCATCAAAATTTAAAACTGCTCTTTGAAAGATACTGTTAAGAGAATGAAAAGACAAGCCACAGCCTGGGAGGAGTTATTTGCAAATCATATATCTGATAAAGGATTTGAGTCTGGAATATAAAAAAAATGCATAAACTCAATAATAAGAAAATAAACAATCCAGTTAAAAAGACATCAAAAGATCTGAATAAATACTGTATCAAAGAAGAGAGACAGATGGTAATTTAGTTCATGAAGGATGCTCAGTATGACTAGTCAGTAAGGGAATAAAATTAAAACCACAATAAGATACAGTACACAAATACTAGAATGTCAAAAATGCTAGGTGCAGTGAGGATGTGGAACTACTTGAATTCTTAAACGTTGCTGGGGGCAGCCACTCTGGAAAATGGTGTAGCACTTTCTTATAAAGTTATTTATACTTACCCAGTAATTCCACTCTTAAGTATTTACTCAAGAGAAATAAAAACTTATGTTCATATAAAAATGTATATGGAAATATTCATTTATAATCGCCAAAAAGAGTACAAAACAAATAAAACTCAATGCTTTTTAACTTTGGTATACCCATATATCAGAACAATACTCAGCAATAAAAAGGAACAAACTATGTAACAATATGTTTGAGTCTCAAGTGCATTTTGCTAAATGAAAGATGCCAGACTCAGAAGTCTGTAAAGTGAATTAATCCATTTATATGACATTCTGAAAAAGCAAAGCTATTGTGATAGGAAACAGGTAAGTAGTTTCCAGAGTCTGGGGAAAAGAAATGGCTACAAAGGACACAAAGGAATTTTTTGTGATAATAAAACTGATCTTTGTCTTGATTATTGTTACAAGGATACATGAGTTTGTCAAAACTCATAAAACCATCCAACAAAATAATTAGTTTTACTTTATGTAAATTATACTTCAGTCAAAAAAGGAAGTTACCAAAAGAAAACAGTAGATTGAGGTCTCCAAGGTTTTTTTACTGAGAAAAGGAAATTGAAGAATCCTAGACACTTATAAATAAAAAAGAAATATAACATTTTGAATGTTTGAAAATCCCTTGCTTTAAAATTCTCATTAATATTCAATATTCCTCCAGATTTATAAAACATTAATTATATTTAAAAATACTATGCCTACGGGACACAAATCACATTTCATCAGAGAATTTGTAAGTCATATAGCAAGATCAACTGTGGCTTTTTTTTTTTTTTGGTAAGGAAGATTCGCTCTGGGCCAACATCTGTTGGCGATCTTCCTCTTTTTTCGCTTGAGGAAGATTAGCCCTGAGCTGACATCTATGCCAATCTTCCTCTCTTTTGTATGTGGGATTCCTCCACAGCACGGCTTGATGAGCAGTGTGTAGGTCCACACCAAAGATCCAAATCCACAAGCCCAGGCCACCAGACTGGAGTGTGTGGAATTTTAAGCACTCAGCCATGGGGCTGGCCCCCAACTATGGGTTTTTTTAGTATTTGTTTTTTATGGAGATCACTTTTGCACATTTCAATACTTATCTTCTTATCTTTTTTATTTTCCTAAAAATAGACCACATGGTCCAAGATGTTTTCTAGCCTTGAGTTCTAGTTCTAAGGCTATACTATCCTAATATGTAATTAGAAATAATTTATGCAATTTCCTTTTCATTCATTTATCCATTGGTAAAAGAGAAAAATACTTGGCACATTTGGTACTCTGTCCATATTATAACATCTGGAATTGAAAATTTTTGTTTTCCCAATAACGATATCTCTCCATCTAACAAGGCAAACTTGATCCCAAGCTATGGTAATGTTAAATAATATTAAGTATTACTAAATACTAAAATCATAAGAATAACCAAAGTATTTGAGGCTAAAGCAAAGTGTTATTGCATCACCCAGTTTTAATGCCACAAGTGGCATTAGAAATGAATAAAATAAACAGTCTCATTTTACAAAACAGGGAACCGAGGCCAACTAGGCTGATCCACTTATTCAAGATGGTGCAGCTAAATGGCAGCAAAGGCTGGAATCAGTATGGACCTCCGCACTATCAGTTTGTTCATTACCCTTTCCCTATAGTATGTAGTTAAATATTTTCCTGAGATTTATTTGTTAAAAATGTAAACAATTATAATTAATATCTATATCAGTTGACAACACGATTATTCAAATTGCAAACTTCTAAATTCTGAAGGAGGTCTAGTAGTTCCTGTAATTCTCACCAGTTTTTTGGCATCAAATATAGTCTTGATATTCTATCTGTGTGAAAAATTATGAAGTCGAAATTGCAAGTAAGAACACTCATTCAATATTTATATCTAAACACACAAGCATATAGAAATAGAAAGTAAAGCCCTCTTTTGGCCTTGAATGAGAGAATTTGTTAGGAAATATTAAACAGAAAAACTTATTTACACTCTGAAGTCTTCTGTTATTTCACCTTCCTTTCTGTTAATGCTCAACTGTTAGGACTCAAATTAGCCTTAGAAAATAGAATTTATGGTGTCAATTCATCCTAAATCAATTCATCCAGTTTTACAAGTTATTATAGGGAATGGAATAATATATTTTATTTAAGTGCTTTCTGAAGTAATTGTGTTTCTGTGTGTGTATATTTATTTGTTTCCAATACTAGTATATTAAATGAAAACAATTAAATTGCAAACTTTTCATGTTATTTAGTGTGTTCTCAAATCTTTTCCTCTCAACTACAACTGTGCTTTAATTCTTTGATTTATATTTAACCAGCTGAAATAGATTTGTTTCATGAAAGGTAAATTGGTTCTATTTTTCTAAATTGTAGAGTATTCACAGTATTTTTGTAAACTCTTTTACTTAGTATTTTAAAGAAAACACTCTACTATTTTCTGACAACATGTGTAGTAGAGAAGAAATGTACAATCAGCATAAATTATAGTCCTTTGTAAGAATCTTGCTATGTTTTTTCTTTCTGATATGTTATATAGAGGATTCTTTCTTTATATGTTTAACATTCAGATATTTCCCCCCAGGAAATACAAAGGTTAGTTTATTTTTTTAAAAATTGCCAATTTGTTGAGCACATTGACTGTGCCACTGCATTTTCACCACTACAGTTTCATTTGTTCTATTATGTTGATTTTATTTTATCACCTTTCATTCCTGTGCCTGCTTTTTCATTCTCCTGGTGAGAAGCTTCTTAACTTTCCTTCCATATAACTTTTACTTCTTTTTCTTGATGATTCTGCACATTACAATATTTAATATTAATCAAAATTTTAATTTTGTAGTGCATATTATTTTTTTAATACTCTCTCCTCTTCTCATCCATTTTCTGCTTTAGTTTGTTCTGTCTCTCAGCCAGATTTTAAAAATTATCTTTTCTTGGGCCAGTCCCAGTGGCCTAGTGGTTAAGTTTGGCACACTCCACTTGGGTGGCCTGGTTTTGGTTCCCGGGTGTAGACCTACACCACTCATCTATTTGTGGCCAGGCTGTAGTGGCGGCTCACATACAAAAAGAGCAAGACTGACAGCGGATGTTAGCTCAGGACGAATCTTCCTCAGCAAGAACGAACAAACAAACAAACAAACAAAATTATCTTTTCTTGTCATGTAATCTCACCTTTCAGGATTCATTAGTCTATACTTTCTAGAATTTCATTAAGTAAATAAAAATGATGTTCTTTTTATTCTGTTACCTAGAGGAAAACATTTTCAAAGGAATGCTTTCTCTTTATTTTGCAGGGTGACAGGATAAATGCAGCAGAAAATTTTTATAAACCATAGGTTATGTTTTTCTCTCCATTCTCCTAATTTTCTATGAAGGATGTAGAGCTTGTTAATAAGGGAATGGCCACTTGCTTTTGTGAGAATTCCTTCTCAGTGACTGAACTTTCACACTCATAGTTGTCCGTTGCCTCTACTTGAATTCCCCGTGTTTATTAAAGATCTATCTGGGCCGGCTCCGTGGCTTAGCGGTTAAGTGCGCGTGCTCTGATGCTGGTGGCCCGGGTTCGGATCCCGGGCGCGCCCCGAGGCACCACTTCTCCGTCCAACGCGAGGCCGAGTCCCACGTACAGCAACTAGAAGGATGTGAACCTGTGACATACAACTATCTACTGTGGCTTTGGGGGGGAAAAAAAATGAATAAATAAAATCTTTAAAAAAAAAAAAAAAAAGATCTATCTGAAAACGCAATCTGAGAGGCTCTCCTGCTCCTAGGACCTGGCCACTTAATTAACTGTAGTGGTGTTTATTAGCTGATAATCAGAAACTGTCTGTAGTTCTATCCTGGCCAGAACTTGAGAAAACACTTCCCATAGCCTTTTCCTTTTGCTAATTTAGGAAACCACAGCCCTGAGGTCAAGTCACCATTGTCCTTCTCTTCTGCCCCAAGCTAGGCTGCAATGTGGGGATCATAGAAGTGACATGGCTATCCGCCAAGAGACATTAACAAGAGGATTGTGAAGAGAATATGCGCTGTCTGTTTTTAGGAATCTACTCTCATATATTAAGGCAGTGATTCTCAAACATTTTGGTCTCAGGCTCCTTTGCACTCTTAAAAACAACTGAGGACCCAAAATAACTGTTGCCTATTTGGGTTTTACTATCTGTATTTACTGTTTTAGAACTTAAAACTGGTAAATTTACGAGATCTATCTATCTATCAACCTATCGTCTATCTATCTATGCATATCAAATATTTATTTATTGTGTATTTATATTTTACTCAAAAATATTAGTAAGAAACATTTTAACATAAAACATCATATAAAAATAATTAGATTTTCCAAAACAAACAACCAAATAGTGAGAAGAATAGCTCTATTTTACATGTAATGTCTGGCTCAATAGACGATATCTGGATTTTCATATCTAGTTCTGCATTCAATCTACTGCAAAATTATGCCATGTAGCTTCTGAAAATTCTTACCTTTCACTTGTGAGAGAATGAGAATGAAAAGATAGAAAATATATATTGTTATTTTTTTTATTTTGTGAGGAAGATCAGCCCCGAGCTAATATCTGATGCCAATCCTCCTCTTTTTTGCTGAGGAAGATTTGCCCTGGGCTAACATCCGTGCCCATCTTCTACTTTATATGGGACGGTGACACAGCATGGCTTGACAAGTGGTGTGTCAGTGCACGCCCAGGGTCCGGGCTGGCGAACCCCAGGCTGCCAAAATGGAGCAAGTGTGCTTAACCACTGCGCCACCGGGCCGGCCCCTATATATTGCTATTTTTTACGAAAATAGTTCTGATCTTACAAACTTCCTCAAAGGGTTGCAAGGACCCCTCCTGATCCCCAGGCCACACTTTGGGGACAGCTGCATTTGGGAAGGTTGGGCCACTGTGGGAACGTTTTCATAACATCCTGTGAGGCACTGTGGACTCAGGTTAAGTGCGTGGGCCGCCAGGGTTGTAGTCACAGCTC